GACCGTTTAGTTTGTTCTTAAAGATCGCTTAGTTTGTTGTTAAAGATCGTTTAGTTTGTTGTTAAAGACCGTTTAGTTTGTTCTTAAAGATCGCTTAGTTTGTTGTTAAAGATCGCTTAGTTTGTTGTTAAAGATCGCTTAGTTTGTTGTTAAAGATAGTTTAGTTTGTTGTTAAAGATCGTTTAGTTTGTTGTTAAAGATCTTTTAGTTTGTTGTTAAAGATCGTCTAGTTTTTGTTAATGATAGCTTTATTTGTTCTTAAAGATCGCATTAGTTTGTTGTTAAAGATAATTGATTTTGTTCCTTAAGATCAGTTAGTTTGTTCTTAAAGATCTTTCAGTTTGTTCCTAACGAAAATTTAGTCTTCTGTTAAAGATCGCTTAGTTTATTCTTATAAATTATTAAAGATCATTTGTTTTGTTCTTAAAGATCATTTAGTTCGGTCTTAAAAATCGTTTAGTTTGTTCTTAAAGATCGCTTAGTTTGTTTTAAAGATCGTTTAGTTTGTTTTTAAATGTCGCTTAGTTTGTTGTTAAATATCATTTAGTTTGTTCTCAAAGATCGCTTAATTTGTTCTTAAATGTCGCTTAGTTTGTTGTTAAATATCGCTTTTGCTTAGTATTAAATGACCGAAAACCTGAAAGTCTAAGTCAATTTCGGCGGAAACCGAAGAAAAACCGAAAGTTAACTTTTCTCTTTCGGCCGAAACCAAAATTAAGCCGAAAGTTAACTTTCCAGTTTCGTCCGAAACCGAAAATTCGGCGCCAAAGCCGAAGCTAGGTCGGCCTCTACTTGTAGGTTAGAATTATATAAATTTTGATTTGTGACAAAAAAATCTTATTTACTTTTTTTAAAGATTCTCTGCTCTAATGTAGTTGGATTTAAAATCTTGCACTGAGCTTGACTTGAACATTTTGAAGGATTTCTTTTGTTCATTTAACAACCACCTCCCTAAATATTAAAGAGTTTGAATTTTGCTCACTAATTCCAATAGTGGGTGGACTTCTATTTAATAGATTAAATAGACCAACTTTCCCTTTAAGAACCAAGTATCTTTTGTCTCAACACCCATCCATGCAAACATGGCTGGTGTAAAATCAATAACTACACCAGGTTTGTGATTATTTTTTAATATTTTTTTTTTTTTTTACTTATTATGATGGTAACTTTCAGGTTAACATGTTCATAGGATTATTGTCTTCATATAAATGCAAGCTTACGCCATAATAGTATAGAGCTTCTGTCTTTCTAATTCTACTAATTCATGTGTTATTTTACTTCCAGGTTGAAGTTGTTGTTTTCACAGAGATCACTTGAAG